GTGTCTGGTTTCCCAGAAAAACGAGACAAGCAGCTTGACTTGACAAGTAGCATGAAGTAGCATAAAGAGCTTCCCTAGACAGTGCCAGAGAATTTGGTGCCAAAAGCCTGAGGTGGTTATTAGAAAATGGCTACCGCCCCTGATCGGCTGACTACAGCCTCTTCATCACCAAAAAGAGCCACAACAGAACCCAGCCAAAGCAATCACTGCTTCCTTGGGAAGCACTCGCTGTTTACCACGAGCTCTTGCTAACATCCCTGCTGTTTGCAAAGTGGCTAGACAGGGCAGTGACAGCCATTCCTGTCATCAGTTAAGGAGAAATTGCCCAGTGGGAGTTTAACTTTTAATTGGATTTCTGCCACGCTGTTTCTTTTGGTTACCTATCAGCTGGGATTCCATTGGTGCCAAGTTCGAGTACAGTTCACTTCCACAGTCTGCAGAGCACTATGGAGGAAGAAAAATTGCCAAGGGGTCGGAACACCCCAGCTCTATCCCTAATCAGCTGCAAGGTCTTTGGCTCAATCAATTTGCTTCTTCTCTGTGTTCCCTCTTCCTTTAGTTATAACATAGGAAATATAAAACCTACCTCACATGATTATAAGTCAGAGGAGGGAACAGATGAGCAAAACTTGGGTTTCCAACTTAATATTTGTTCATCTAGTATCTAAGCACAGAAAAGCTGGATCTCAAAATCTCCTTGAAGGGAAAATATTTAGGAGGAAGTTATATAGTATAACCCCGTTTCTTTTCTGTTGTTGTTGTTACTAATTGGCTAGGTTTTATAATATACTTTCTTTGATGAAGACAGTCTGGATCACAAAATGATATAGAGAATTTTGTACAATTTAACCTGAGCTATAAGAATCATAATAAATAATCATTATGATACATTTTAGCGTCTGTAATGCAGTGGGTGCAGCTGTTCTAGATGCTCTGCTCACTTCATACTTGTGCTTGGCTAATCTGTCACACGTGATAAGTGCTTCATCTCAGCAGTTCTTGGAAGCATGGAATTGCGACAGTGGTGAAAGGCTGTCTCTCTTATACCGGAGTCAAATAAGCAGTCAATAACTGCTTCTTTCTCACCAATTCACCAGCAGCCAGACTTTTCCCTCTAAAACTTGTGAGAATGAAATACTTATAGCAGTGTATAAATGAATGTAAGCATTCAATGTCTCCTTTATATATGGTTGCTGCAACCAAACACATATACATAACTGTAGGGCTTGTGCAAAACTTTAGCACAGAAAAAATAAGAGGAATAGAGAAGAAAAGGGAAGAGAAGAGGGGGAAAGGAGAGGGGAGAAAACAGGAGGGAATAAGAGCTTGGGCAAAAAAAAAATAGGAGATAAAAAGATTCTTTTCTTACTCAATTTATTTTATGTCTGCTTGTGTGATAAATTTACCTGCATTACTTACATTTTATCTGTATGATACCTCTGGAGGTAATCTGAATCACCTTCATTTCTCAGATGAAGAAACTAGTGCTCAAAATAGTGAAATAGGCCACACAACTAAAAAGTGTCAATTCCAGGATTTGGTCCTCGGTCTCTATGATTTTAAAAATACCCATTCACTTTCATTGTATCTCATTACTTCTCTTCCCAAGAGAAGCCTCCTTTGATGTAGGCTTTCCATTCTTTAGATGCTGATAACATATCTCTGATGCCAGTAAGACAGAAGTCTTTTCACTGATCTCTACAACTGACCAAGAATGAGGCTTATTCTTCTTCTCATCAAAAGAGAGACTGGATGTAGGAGAAAGAAGAAACAGATGTTAGCCCTGTGATTTGGCTTTGACCCAACATAGTAGGTATTTCCAAATTCCCCTTCTTAGACACCTTTATCACCTTGAACAGTGAATGGAGTGGAGAAATACATCAAACATGATACACCACTACTCGATAAATAGAATACAATAGTTCTACCTTTTAAGTGAGCACAGATGTCTACTTGAAACCTATGCACCAGATCTTCCTATGTTTTTCCTCCTGTTGAAGCAACTATCTATACAGAGTTAGGTCTCCGTGATAACCTTGGCAGCTCCTTGAGGGGCAGGCAGTCTAGCGGTTTAAGCACATGGACTTTCATATCACATCTGGGTTCAAATCCCAGGTCCATCATTGATGTGGCCTTGGAAGCACAAATTATTTTACTTCTCTGATCTTTCTGTGGTTCTCTTTCTGTGTCTCTTAAATGGGGATGCTATCTCATGGAGTTGCTATTAAAATGAAACAAAATGTTGGGCATAAAGCTCCTAGCATGGTACTTAAGGCATAGTAAGAGTCAGTACATTTTTCTTGAATTATTGCTCTGATCCAGCTCAATAAATTCCACTTTGAAGTAGCTTTAAGGGAATCATTCTGATGACTCCTATTTGCTACAGGGAAATTTATCTGGAAGAAAAGAAGCTGTTCAAAGAAGCTGAGAACTTTCTCAAGAGATTTGAGCTTTAAGTTGTCCCAAATCTATTTCCTAGGTTCTAAGGCCAGGGCAAACAAAATTTCAGCCTATTACATATTTAATATTTAATATAGTCTATAAATCATGTTAGGTTCATTTTGTGATACTTCAGTATAGCACCGGATTATTGCATGTATATATAAAGTATTGTTAAATACATGTGCATGGTGATTTATGAAGATTTGAAAGAGCTTGGACCACAATTTTGAGGAATTTACATCATGATAGAACTTTATACTGTTGTATCTTCATTTTTATAACATATTGTTAAGTCTATATGGCTTATTTAACACCAAGATCTTGGTGAAGAACACAACCTCCAAGAATAACTTCAGACTTTAAACGAACTCCTTTTTGACCTGCACTGTGACAAAGAGCCTGTGTATTTTACTACTTCCTCCATCAAAACCACAGCTACCACCAGAACCCAACAATTACGGCTCCCCAAACCTCTTTCACTTATTAAGGATTGACAGGTGAAAAGAAATAATTGACTAATGTAATGAAGCTAAGTTATCTGTACATTTGCTGGGACAGTACTGTGAATTACCATTAATAATAAATACTTGTGCTAAAAAGCAAGCTAGAGAGGTTATAAAAGTGACTCTGGGTGACACCACCAGAGGTTTCAAATCCCACCCCACCACTAATTTAGCAGTGTGGAGTTGAATGAATTAAACTCTCTAAGCCTCAATTTCTACAACTGCAAAATCTAAATAAATTCAAAACGGTGATGAGGTCATTCAATTAGATTAGATGTTTTGCTCAGTGTTTTGTCTCATATATAAGAAATGCTCCATACAGTAGTTACTCAATGCTTCGAATACAAAAACTCATTTTCACTTTCTAAGTCTACCCTTCTTTCCTTTCCCCTTTTTTAAAAATCTACATTTTTTCCTTTCACTCTTAATCCTATTGTGTTATTTATGTTTGTAAAACCCACTTAAATCTTTTGTGGAAGGAGAGCAGGTATTGAGAAAAAAACATGCACAAGTAAATAAATAATAGTAAAAATAGTATTTAAATATAAAAATAATATTAAATATATAAAAATAATAACACTTTTCTATTTCTTTCATCAAAGAACAACTTCCTGAGTATTGAGTTTGTGGAATGTATGTGCAGTGGAGGACCACCTGGCATCTTGACCTTGAATACAGAGCGCTCTTCTCAGGAGAGGATCTGGAGGGTTGTGGGAGGACTTAAAGGAAACATATTCAGGCACCTTTTGCCTCCAAACCTCTTTTCCCAGACAAGATAAAAAATGTGGGCACAACATTTCCACTCTAACTGACTCATTTGGCAGAAAAAGAAGTCCAGATGCCAGGAGGAATAGGAAGGCAAAAAAAAAAAAAAAAAGAAAAGAAAACCTGGGGGAGGAAAAAGGTACCGGAAGAAGCAATGTGTCATATCTCATCAAGCTATAAAAACACCAATCTTGAGAATTAAAAAGGAGGATGCACTGACCTTCACAAGTGAAAACAGGGCCCTGTAAATAGTACGATTCTTAAAGCATACCCCATACCAAAAAGTGTTAACAATCAAAGCGGCTTTTTAATGAACTGCTATGCTGTAATTCAGTATCTACAGGGTAATAACAAACACTACCTGAACCTACATGGGAAAGCCAGGGGTAAAACTTCCGAAACATTCATGTTCAAATATACTAACAAATCCAAAGCTGTACTTTAATTAGACTGCTGTGAAAAATGATCAGAGTATGGTTACACAAGTGTTCACACGTGTCCGGAATCATCAAATTGTATACATTAATTATGTGCAGTTTTTGTATACCTATATTTCTTTTTTTATTTTTTTAACATTTTATTTATTTTTGAGAGAGAGATAGAGACAGCATGAGCAGGGGAGGGTCAGAGAGAGAGGGAAACACAGAATCCTAAGAATTCCAAAGAATCAAGCTCCAGGCTCTGAGCTAGCTGTCAGCACAGCGCCCGACGTGTGGCTCGAACCCACGAACCCTGAGATCATGACCTGAGCCGAAGTCAGAAGCGTAACTGACTCAGCCACCCAGGCACCCCTTTATACCTATATTTCAAGAAATCTTGAGGGGAAAAAAAAATCAGAGTAATTGTTTGATAATTTAATTACATGAAATAGCTAGCATGGTTTAATCTTTTTCTAAGCATCTTATAATTTTAGCTAATTTGTCCCATAATAATTGCTAAGGATCAATGGCTCTTACAATTGATGAAAGATGTAAATTGAACTTGATCAATTTTCTTACAACTCCTGTCATTTATGTAAATGTCCAATTAAAATATTTAGTGAGCATAGTCCCCAAACCTTAGGCTTTTCATCTTTTCAGGTTTGCCCATTCTGAAATAGAGTCCATGCCCAGGATACATAACCTGACCATGGAAAGCATACTCTTCCAGCTATTTGAGTCTCAAATACACTTTCTGACAGTTTTACAGGGAAGATGAGTAATGGAATGCTAAATGAGGTTTAAGTATCTAGAAAGTTTATGTCAAAGAAGAATTAAAAGGCAGGTTTATGGGGTATATCTTACCTTTATTTAGTTGAAAAATGATTACTCAGTACCGAGGAAGTACATGGCACTCTGCCAAAATCGCAGGGTAGGAAACAAACAAGGCATGGTTTGTCCTCGGAGTTCATCATATACTGGAAGCAAAATTCAGGCATGCAAATAAAAACAAGTGCATCTCATAAACTTTATGATGAAAATTTCAGATATGAAAACACAGGAAAAATTTTCACAACCATTGCTGTTTCAACGTTTTTCTCTCTGTAAAGTAAGGAAGCTATCTTAGGTCCTGTAGGTCTCTTCCAGCCTTAATATTTTGCGATAATATGTTTATGAAAATATTTATTTCACTATTTTTTAGCAGAGACCTAAGAGAACTTTGTCTTTAACAAGTTAGGCACTTATACCAGAGAACACAAAGGCTTTTCAACAAATGCCTTAGTTCAGTAGGACAAAGATATTGCTGATTAGCAACTGGAGAAACAGAAAACCAAAAACTACAGAAAAGAAAATGTGTTTTAATCAGATTTCTCTCAATTGATCCTGCATTCCTAGGATGGGTACAATTACACTAACATAATTTCTGGGGGATTATTATTTAATTAATAAATATATTTGATTAAAATGTTTTTTAATCTGCCACCATCACACTCTAATTTACATAAAAGTAATCAAATGTGAAATCTCAGCCAACTGAACAAAAAAACAAAAACTAAAACATTGACCCGTGTTAGTTGTAGCTGCCCTAAGTATGATGAAATTTCACTTCCACTCTTACCTCTTTTCTTGCTCTTTTGCTTCACATTTCTGTTATTTGCATACCTGCAAGAGAACAAAAATTAAATAAGATAAAATTAAATGACACACGTAAAATCTTCAATAAATAACAGCTTTAGTGACCATTGCTAGGATTATTATCCTTACTTATGCATTTTACTTTTCCTGCCATTCTTCACTCTCAAAGGTGGGCCCTACTTTTGTAAAGCTTCCCAAAGTGTATGTGTTGTACTTGAGAGCATTTGAGAAGATTTGGGGATGCATACAGATAAAACCATATATATATATAAAATTTAATAATCATATACTTATATTAAAGTATATTTGAAAATTTTATAGCTAGCACATCAACCTAGTGATTTGAAAAATATTACTTTTTAATGTTCATTTATTTTTTTGAAAGAGAACATGTGTAATAGGAGAGGGGCAGAAAGAGGGAGAGGGGCAGAAAGAGGGATAGAGAGAACTCCAAGCAGGCTCTCCACTATCAGTGCAGAGCCCGACATGGAGCTGGATCCCATGAACCATGAGATCATGACCTGAGCCAAAATCAAGAGCCAGATGCTTAACCAACTGAGCCACCCAGGCACCCTAAAAGGTATTATTATTAAACAAATTTAATTAAGTTGAAATAGTAGTGTATTTTCAGAGGCATAACAGCATAGGTGGTATGTGAATATAGCAAAAATTATGAAATGGTACATGAACAGCTGAAGTTTGGAAAGATAGTAGTCTAGGGAGTGGAGAAGTAGTGTTACATTTTGAAAGAAGCAAATGTTTTACCTCCTAAATTATAAGTTCCTTGAGGGGAAATTCAGTCTCCACCTAGGTAAGTATAGTAATATGTGCTCAACAACTGAATGCTGCATAGATTTGAAGATCATTGAAACTGTATCCGTGTGTACATGTGTGTTCATATAATGGCAAGGTGGCCATTGTACACAGTGGAGTCAGGGTACAGTAGGGAGGGTGGGGTCTACTCTGAACTCACAATGACCGATGAACTTGTCTTCATTGATCCATTAATTTTATGTGTTGAAATCTATAAATACATTCCAATGCTATATTTCCAAAGACCATTTGTGCACTTTCTGCTTTTTAAAGACAGAAATAATAAAGACTTAGATTACTGAACTCTGTCAGTAGTAAAATTTCCAGTGAGTATTCTAATTATTCATTTATAAGTTCTAGAAGGCAGAAAATGTCTGGCTCCCTCTTATATTTCTAGAGTCCAGGACAGTGCCTGACACAATATAGGTCTTCACTAAATATTTGTTGAATGAATGAATTTATAAATGAATGCTTCAGTCCCCAGAGAGCTGGCAGAAGAAGTTTGGGAGAGGAAATAAGAAAGAGAACTTTTGAGGGGCGCCTGGGTGGCTTAGTCGGTTAAGCGTCCGACTTTCGCTTAGGTCATGATCTCGCGGTTCGTGGGTTTGAGCCCCGCGTCGGGCTCTGTGCTGACTGCCAGCTCGGAGGCTGGAGCCTGTTTCAGTCTGTGACTCCCTCTCTCTCTGACCTTCCCCTGCTCACGCTGTCTCTCTCTCTCTCCTAGAAATAAATAAAACATTAAAAAATAAGAAGAAGAAAAAAAAAGAAAGAGAACTTTTGAGACCCAAAGTCAAGCCATCTGTTCATGGCTTCTTCTGCCTACCAAGCCCGGCAGTGAGACAGCCAAACAGTGATCTCACCTGTAGAACCTGCTGGGCCAGTCCAGTCAGCAAGCGAGGTGAGTCCCCACCAGTCATGTGTCAAACCCAGTCAACCTGGCCAACAGATTCCCAGAAGTACACTGTACCTGCTCTCTCTCTGCATCCAAATTGGCCTTGGTACATGAGATCTAATTATCTACCATGGAATTTGGCCAGTACGAGATTATGGTATATTGAGAAATTTGAACTTTAACCATACATAAATAAAAGCACAGGGATCAGGACCACTCCCTGTTACTTCTGTGTGATCTTCAAAAAAAATTTTTTTTCTTAAAAAAGAAACCAGTTGTCTAGGAGTCTGTGAGTTTTCAACTAAAGGGATATATAAGTCAAACTGATTCAACTTTTAATGTAAATTCTCTTTCAAATGCTTTTAAAATAACTTAAATTTATTGAATAATAATATCTGAAACCTAAATAAAATTCAGCACCCTGTATTAATCTTCAAAACAAATAAAGATGCAGAGAAAGATACAAAATAAGTAAAATACAGTCCCTGGTGCTGCCTTTTTCAGTCAGATTTGAACAACTGAAGTAGTTCAAAACCCTAAGAAAATGTTCTCCTTTATCTCTCAGCAATAGATGCAGGAAGGTTAATTCTTTCAAATTTACAGTAGAAGATCATCAGGCACATTATCACCTGTCCATGCAGTAGAATTAAACAAATCTTAATATTCCTTTTTAAGCAAATTTTCCCAGCAAAGAAAAATGGTCTCCGGGTTATATGCTTGTGTGGTATTCTCAAGCTTTCTGGGTACAGGGCAAAATCCTCTCCGTAAGCAAACTAGGGGTTGATCAGAGTTTTCTTCACTTTAAAAAATGATTTACAGTACGATCCCAACAGCTAGAAGATTTCCGCAGGGCATTACACACTTTTGCCCACAAGTCTTCAGGACCAGGCCTACTGAAGAGGGTTAGGTACACGTGTTAACACTTAATTCCCCTCGCTGTCTCAGAACTGACCTACTGCCTTTCATTTTCTCTCACTTCCCTTCCTCCAAATATATCCCTTTTTTCTTGCACTGAAGGACACAACTTTGCAACATCCTTTCTTACCTCTATCTTATCTCTTATACCATCAACATCTCTGTTACATTTGTTTTCTGTTTTCACGGGAATTTCTGCCTTGACAGAGAGCTATTAAATGAGAGAGAGTGGTATAAAACTGCAGGAGTGACTAGAAAAGTCACAGAGAGCAAAGCTGATTTTACTGGCAGTGAGAAATGATACATAGAATGCTGGATAGAAATCAGAAAACCTAGGTTTTGGTTCTGGCACCAAGGATTACTTCCTGGCCTTGGAATTCAGGGAACTTCATGAGCATTTCAGTTTCCTCATCTACATAATTGGCATGCTCATGTGGGGTGCCTGGTAGCTCATTTGGTTAACCATCTGACTCTTGATCTCAGCTCAGGTCTTGGTCTCAGGCTCATGAGTTCAAGCCCCACGTTGGACTCCACTCTGGGTGTAGAGCCTACTTTTAAAAAGTTATAATTAGCATGCTCATCATGGCCCTGCCTACCTGACAGAATTGACAATAAAATTTAATCAGACTGCAGGGGCTTTATGTTGCATTAAATTACAAATTGTGTGTCTCCGTAGCACATGAGATGTGGTGGTTGATGATGTTATACACCCAGATGCAAAGGAGGCACTCATGCGCACCAACTGTCCCCAGCCCTATGTTTACTCTTGCTTGGACTGGACTAACTCAGGGAAATTTTCCAGTTCATTCCTCAGGGTACAAGGAATTTATACATATGAACAATCCTACCATCTTTAGTGGACACTGTCCAGAAAGTTCGCTTCATAAAGCTTCTCCCAAGCCTGCTTTATGGACATGGTGCTGGCCCTGATCTCCTTTCAACCTCTAAGTACTGTCCACACCCCCAGCTGCAGTCTGGCTCTTGTGAGCATCTGGACTAGGCAAGAACTGAGTAGAGTGATGGCTCCAGTATTAGACTGGCTTGGGTTCAGACACTGGCACTATAATGAAGTAGCTGTGACACCTTAAGCTTTTTATTTAATTTCTGAGACTCCATTTCCTAACTTGTGCAGAGAAGACACCACTAGCTACATTGTAAAGAGATAGAAAAAATAAAAAATAAAGCTTTACTACAGCCCAAGAGTTAAAAGTAACAGACATCACAAATATGGATACTTAGAATTGTCCAGATATTTAAATTGTAGTCTTTTAAAAATAAATGATTTTGGGGATACCTGGGTGGCTCAGTCGGTTGAGCATCCAACTTCGGCTCAGATCATGATCTCGATGTTTGTGAGTTTCAGCCTCACATCAGAATCTGTGCTGACAGCCAAGAGCCTAGAGCCTGCTTCAGATTCTGTGTCTCCCTCTCTCTCTCAAAAGGTGGTGGAGGGCTCCCATTCACACTCTGTCTCTCTCTCTCTCTCAAAAATAAATAAAAATAATTTTAAAATTTTTTAAATAAAAGATTTTAAAGAAAGGCAACTGTGCAATTAAGACACACCTTGTGCTTTCTTTGAGCTCACAGCCCTTGAATAGATGATCAAATCTGCAGTGGTACAATAATTAAGCCTAACAAGTACTTAATTATTTTTATAATTAAAAAAGTAAATAATTGAATGAATGAGTGAGTGAATAAATGAAAGAATGAATTCTACTGAAGTTATTTGGGAAAAAAGTTCAATTTCATATGTATCCTCTAGGTGGCGAACTGAAACTTCCTACAGTATATTGCGTTTCCTTGTGTCTTCCATAACTGACACAAAAATTTTACTAAAAAAATCTATGATTCTATGTCTGTCATGGTAAAAAAGTAAGAAATCACTAATGTATTTTCTCCCAATGTTATCTCTTTATTTCTCTTTATTTTTACGTCTTTATGCTTCTTGTCCAAAAATTTGTTTATAGAAAGTCATTAAGAAATATGATTGTGTAAGTACTCTAAAGAAACTGAATTGTGCAATAGACTTTTCAAAGCACTTCTGCAAGCTTGCTGTGAGTACTTTCCATTTTGTGGCGTACTCTTAGGAAAACACTGTTTTGTCCAAAGTTGGTTATTTTCCTAGGATGTTCATTCTCTTCTAAATATGAGGAAGAATTAGAGTAAATCTCCTAACAATTACTTTTTTAAAACTAAGTCTCAAGTATGTATTTTTTCCCTTTTAGATTCATTGTGACAGTGACAGATAAAATTGAATCAGAGCTGAATGCATTATTCTGTAAATTGAATAGAGAAGCACAATCAAATGAGATAAATTAATCCAAATACATTGCTTTAATTTTCCTTCAGGTCAGGATATGAGTTCCCTGAATGATTTAAATAATGCCCCCCAATCCCATGTTCCTGT